TCATTTCTTGGCGAAAACAACGTGAAAAAGACAAAATGGTCTATTTAATCGTTAAAAAGGCTTCACATATTTGTAAAGGGATTAATACTTAAGCCACACATTAAGGGTCGAGCCCCACCCTCTTTTGGGCTTATGAAGGGTCCCTAGATTGTCTAGTATCACTAAAACGTCAATTTTTACATAACAATCTGTCAAAATTCGAACTTTTAATGAAAACCGCTACCGAACAGCACACGTTTTATATCCCTAATTTTAGAGTAAAAGGGCGCCTACGAATGGTTTCAGTATGTCAAATTTTGGGCCCGGAAGGCCCTGTTCCCCAATAGCGTCCCACTTGCTCGTCTCGGTTGTCAGCGCCGCAGGCCTAGCTATATGTGCGCCAGGCGCGTCGCAGCGTAACAGTGTTTCGTGAGATATCGCGAAGCCTGTTACGCGAGACGTGGTCTGGCGTACATATAGCTAGTATACTCCTGCTTCAGGGCCCCAGCCATTTTCGCATCGCGCCCTAAGGCTTCTATTTCATGTAGAGGTGCAACATTCATAGGCCGAGGTGGAAGTCCCTAATGACAAAAACACGAAATTCTGTGAACTTGGAAGCTGGCCAAGGTGGTAGGGAATTTTCTTGCATTTTCACACATTTTTGCCCTTCCGAAATGGTACCAGCTCACCCAACTAATGTTTTATGCCGGTCGAAAATATTAAAGTCACATTCACCTTTAGAGTGACGGGATCTATGGAGCACAGTAATTCCGCTGCCACTTTCAGCATGAGAGCTATGTGGACCACCATATCTGAAAGGTTAGAGGCGATTGAAAGACACCAGCCATGCAGCGTAAGCGTGGCACTGCTGAGAAGTAATCTGCTCCACACCATGCACAACGGTCTAGCTCCAACAAGTGCTAGGTGCCCTCCTGCGCCCTTGTCAGGCCACAGCTTGGCACTGGACTCACAGCTGTCACTAGAGATGTGACAGAACGATTTCGCGTTATTGTCTCTTGTTATTGATTCAAAGGTACTGTGATTCATGCCTCGAAAGACAGGGGCTACACTACAGAGCACAGCTTTGATATCATCAAAAGGGGGTATAGCGAATTCCAGCCGTCAGTTAAAGGTGATGTGTGATGTGGTCGACATTGAACTTTCACCCTACGTCATACCCTGGTCCTTAGGGCATTCCAAATTATGAATGGGAGTCTTCGATAACGGAGTTAATAGTCTTAAACGAAAGTTTGTAAAAATTATAGTTCCAAGTGCGCAAAAGCTCAAAATAACATTAAGCGGAGCGGAGGTATGGCCCAGAGCATCGAACGCCTAAAAACTAAATCCACCAACATCAAAATACGATTTTAAATATTCGCATTCCTCTCAGAAAATCAAAAGGGGAATGTCTTATGGGCGGATGCGATTAGAGCAAAATGGTAGAGTGTTAGGTAGTCAAAAGCAAAAAAAAAAAAAATTGTCTAAAATCGCACAAATTAGCTATTTTGCAGCTTATAACGCATTTCGAATTTGATTCACTTTTTAAATGACTGGCAGTTACTTGAAATAGTAAAAAGACTGAACCAAAACCAACGCACACAATTTTCAGTGACAACTGCACCTGCAACAGGCTGATCAATATCGGGTGTATAGCACTCTTCCCACCTGACATTCGTCCCACCTATATAT